ATATATATATATATATATAACTCCCAGAGAATTAAAATTAAAAATAAAATCAACAAAGGGCAGTTATGCTTTTTTGAAAAAACAAAGTGTATTAATTTAGGGAACGTTTCTTGAACGCTGCAAATTGTTGTATACAAAAATTATGGTGTCTGATTGTAATAGATATAAAAAGTATATCTATCATACAGGTACCTTCGGTTGTCTATCTTATTTTCAATCAATTTGATTAGACAATTAAAAAATGTATATCGGCTCCTTTTTTACTAGCAAATTTAAAAAGAAAGTCAGGAAGGAACGATACTAATTGTAATGTAATAGAAGTTTTATCAGTTGATTTACTAATACAAAGAAAAATGTTTTCCCTCTGATTTTTACTTGGTCTTTTTCAATTTTTACACATAAATTAAAATTAAAAAAATATTCTACATATAATTTGTTACATTTTTTTAGTTGTCACTTTTAAAATTACTTACGAAGGAACCAGCTATAAATATTACTTTATCAATTATCAAAAATATCTAACTTTGTGAAGATTATCAAAGCGTTACAATTTAGAAAGTGATTTTTTTAAAGATTGTGAAATGAAATGACATTTGATTATGTTAAAAATTATTTCAGCAATATTTTTTCTTTAAGCAATAATTTTCTGTCAAGTTGAAAAATAATTTTTTTCTCGTTCTGAAAATCTTCATTTCCTTTCAATTGTGTTAAGGAAACAATATCTTATAATATATTAACTATTATATACTAAGTATATACTACTATTAAAATACATACTAAAATATATTGTATCTGCCTTCTGAGGATGTATAGTTTTTTATTTTATATACATGTTTAGTGATGGGAATGGAGAACAATCTGGAGATTATCCTGCCTCACTGCCTGCAACTGTGGTAGTGCCTGAAGTATGGCCTCATGTACCTGCCATTGCTATCAATAGAAATCCAGTATTTCCCAGATTTATTAAATTAATTGAGATTAGTAATCCAGTTCTAATTGATTTAATACGTAGAAAGATAAAGCTAAATCAGCCTTACGTGGGAGTTTTCTTGAAGAAATCTGAAGAGTAAGTTCCTTCAAATCATTCTCTTTTAATTTATATTGACATAAATAATGTCAAAATTAATAATTATGTGAATGATATATATGTAGTAAATAATTTCAGTTCTAATATGTCATTTATTCTTACAGAAATGAAGCTGATGTCGTTCAAAGTTTAGATGATATTTATCCAATTGGAACGTTTGCACAAGTACATGAAGTACAAGATTTAGGAAATCGATTGAGATTAGTGGTTATGGCACACAGAAGAATTAAGATTGTTAATCAAATTTTTGAGGATGCTAATCCAAAAGTAGAACACGGTAAGAAAAATATATTTAATTGTTGTATTTTCAATTGTTGTATTGCAACAAAGTCACATTTTATAGAAATTTAATATTCTGTTAATTGATAAAAATTTTCTTGTTTAAATTGGCATAGCCCTGTTTTTCGATTATTTTGCTTAAATATTCTCCTGCCTACTTTATACAGAGATGAAACTGACATTTCCACTATTAAATACTACAATTACCGTTCCTGTAGACGACACAATGACCAATAACAAAGTTAATCGAAGATCATTGCGTAAAAAAGGAGAGAATAGAATTGTAGAACGACCTGAGAGAATAGAAAAGATCCACGAAACAAGCTCTAATCTGGAAATAAAACCACAAGAACATACGCCTGAGAAGAATACGGAAAAACCATTAGTTTCATCAATTCCTCAGCCTGGTAGTCAGCCTATATTAATGGTGGAAGTTGAAAATGTCACACATGAAAAGTTTAAACAAACTGAGGAGATTAAGGTAATATACAAAGTGATATTAAAAAATGTTCGCAATATTGTGAAAATAGTACTATTTTCATATTTTGTTTAAGTTAATTAATGAGCAAATCACCCCTCATTTCCCACCTTGCATATATAAATACTAAATAAAACAATGGAACAAACAAAAATTAATAACTGAAAAGAATGATAATATTTACTAAAGTTTATTTTGTCTTTCTTACTCAATATTTTCTTTTTGACAAAAAAAGATTTTTGTTTTGCGAAAAAATTGGTTACCTTATTTTGAAAACAATTCACTTTGAATGTATCTTGTTATATTATGTTATTATAATACCAGAAACTGTATCATCAGAAATATTTTTTAAACAGGCACTGACGCAAGAACTCATTAAAACAATCCGAGATATAATCAGCATGAATCCTTTGTATCGCGAATCTTTACAACAAATGTTACATCAGGGACAAAGAGTTGTGGATAATCCTGTTTACCTTAGTGATTTAGGTGCTGCCTTAACTGGAGCAGATGCACAGGAATTGCAACAAGTTTTAGAAGAAATGGATGTGAGTACGTTGCTGATATTACAGCATGTATATACAATTTCTATATATATTTATATGGAAAATATTAAAGTAATATTTTATTTGTAGATTCTAAAAAGATTGAGATTGTCACTCGCACTTTTGAAAAAGGAATATGAATTAAGCAAGCTGCAACAGAAAATTGGTAAAGAGGTTGAGGAGAAAGTGAAACAACAACATAGAAAATATATTCTTCATGAACAACTCAAAGTTATTAAGAAAGAATTAGGATTGGAAAAGGATGATAAAGATGCGATAGAAGAAAAATATAGAGAAAAAATAAGACAAAAGACAGTTCCTAAACCAGTTATGGACGTATTGGAGGAGGAATTGAATAAACTTTCCTTTTTAGAAAGTCATAGTAGCGAATTCAAGTGAGTATTAAATATCATAAGTATGTGTATTATATTATGTTGATGATTTATATAAATTTTGTATTTTTTAGTGTTACAAGAAATTATCTCGATTGGCTTACGTCTATGCCATGGGGTGTGACAAGTACAGAAAACTTAAATCTTCAAGATGCCGTCAAAATTTTAGACGAGGATCACTATGGAATGGATGATATAAAGAAAAGAATACTTGGTATACAAATTCACTTTTGTATATATATATATCTGCATATATATTATTTAAGTATAATGTTTTTTTATTGAATATTTGTTTTTCATTATTACAGAATTTATTGCCGTTAGTCAATTAAAGGGCAGTACTCAAGGAAAAATATTATGTTTTTATGGGCCTCCCGGGGTTGGCAAGACCTCGATAGCTAAATCAATTGCTCGTGCTTTGAATAGAGAATATTTTAGGTTTAGTGTCGGTGGAATGACGGATGTGGCAGAGATCAAAGGACACAGGAGAACATATGTGGGAGCCATGCCAGGCAAAGTCATTCAATGCTTGAAAAAGACCAAAACTGAGAATCCATTGATTTTGATAGATGAAGTCGACAAGATTGGCAAGTATGTAATTTATGTATAAATATATAAAAAAATATATAAATATTTTCTTAAGATAGAAAATATCTCCAATATATTTAAATATATTTAGAGAATATTTGAACTATTTAAAATTATTTAGCATTTTTATAATATTTTTGATAAATAAGCTCTCTCTTTCTACATCATTTATAACATTATGTTCAGAGGACACCAAGGAGATCCGGCATCTGCTCTGCTCGAAATGCTCGATCCAGAACAAAATGCGAACTTTCTGGATCATTATTTAGATGTTCCAGTAGATTTATCGAAAGTACTATTCATTTGCACGGCAAATGTAATAGACACTATTCCGGAACCCCTAAGAGATCGTATGGAGATGATAGATATGTCCGGTTACGTTGCCGAAGAAAAGCTCGCTATCGCGAAACAGTACTTAGTTCCACAAGCTAGAAATGAATCTGGTCTCAGCAAAGAACAAATCAACATACAAGACAATGCGCTCACAGCGTTAATTAAATCTTATTGCCGAGAATCAGGAGTGAGAAGTCTACAGAAACATATAGAGAAGGTGCATAGGAAAGTAGCATTTAAAGTTGTTAAGAAGGAGGCCGACAAAGTTGATATCACTAAGGACAACTTGCAAGACTTTGTGGGCAAGCCTGTGTTCACGCACGACAGGATGTATGAAACAACGCCTCCCGGAGTTGTGATGGGATTAGCGTGGACTGCCATGGGCGGGTCCACATTATTCATCGAAAGTACCATCAGAAAACCGACGGATGGTAAAAAGACTGAGGGTACATTCGAAGTCACTGGTCATTTGGGTGATGTAATGAAGGAATCTATACATATCGCAATGACTGTAGCAAGGAATTATTTGAAACAGGAAGATCCTTCGAATACATTTCTGTACGACTCTCATTTGCATATACATGTGCCTGAAGGTGCAACACCAAAAGATGGCCCTAGTGCAGGTGTGACAATTGCTACTGCATTGTTATCCTTAGCTAAAAACCAAGCTATCAGGCAAGATGTAGCAATGACAGGCGAATTGAGTCTTATGGGCAAGGTTCTTCCTGTTGGCGGTATCAAAGAGAAAGTTATTGCAGTAAGTATAAACATAATCTTGTTTATTAATTCCAATTAATAAACTCTAATTTAAATAAATTCGATATCTCTTATTAAATAATGTATATAGCTTAATATACTAGTTTCACTAAATTATTTTTCATCGAATCATGCATTTGCATTAATATTTATTTATCATAGCTTTATGAAACAATTATTTTTATACTATATACTCATAATAATCACTTTGTTTTATATGTATATAATTTCAAGATACAAAATTAATGAACTATATTTTATTAGGCGAAGCGAGTCGATGTTAAGTGCATAATTTTACCTGAGGAGAACAAGAAAGATTTCAACGATCTACCTAAATACATCACAGATGGCCTGGAAGTGCATTTTGTCTCGACGTTCAACGATGTTTATCATATATGTTTCTCAGGAACGAACGAGACTGATTCCCTTCGATCCGCTAAGCCAGTCACTGATCATGCTTCACCATCTGCTGCACAACCAACATTTGGATAAAATAGTAATACAGGGTGGATCATGAAATTTTGTCTTTACCATATTCAATACTATCACTTAGTATTGATCTTCTGAATAATTTTGTATATAGCTAATATACTAAATAGTATGTACTAAATATTTAATATATACTAAATTTAGCATAAATTTTAGTATATTTAGTATTTGGTATAAATTTTATATATACATGCTATTTAGTATATATACACCATATATACTAAATTAGTATATTGCTAATGAAATGTCTCATTTTGTTTTTTGTATATAATGATTTTAAAAATTGAAAAGACAATTTATATTATATAACAAAGATAATCTAAGTGAAAATAATTAATTTTTTTATTCAAAAGATTTTTTTAATTACGTGTTTCGTATAAATATCTAAAATAATTTTATTTCTAATTATTCGATTCATATTTAGTATGTTCTGGAAACTTTCTATTTACAACACAAATGTAATGACTGATAAAATAATTAGTTCAGAACAGTTACTTTATGAACAGTGTGTATATATAATTATATAAGAGAAAAAGAAAGAAAATTATACTTAAAAAAAATTATTTACATGTTATTTTTTAAAAAGATTTGATTACTTTATTTTGTAAGAATAATCATATTTTAAATATTATTATTATGCAATATGTAATTGCAAATATATGTATAAATATCTACCATTTATTTTTTTAGTACTGGTGTCTCTTGTTAGAAGTTTAATTTTTCTCTCTGATAATTCATACCATGTATAGTATGTATGAAATATTTTTCTATTTTGAAAAGAAGATGTATATATGTTGAAATCCATTACACTACAATTAACAGATGTAAATTTATTACATTATTTTGTATAATAATTAATTGATAATACTTTTTTTGATATGATGTATATGAAATTGCATTGTACAAAAATCTTGATTATAATAAAATATTCAAATAATATTAAACTTTTAAAAATTAACCTTTAGAATTTTAATGATGAATAAAAATCAATAAATAGCAATTATAATAAAATGATATATAATTATTATACATAAGTGATAAGTATAATTAGAGATAAATAGAAATATATGCTAGAATTTCATAATCATGAAATTAAGCTGGTATGTCCATCTTGCTGAGTCTGATTATAAAATCGCATAGCCTCATTTGCACTTGGATCTCCACTGGATTATTCGTCACATAGAATCCTGGTACTCCAGCTTTTTCCAATATACTTTGCTGATCAGCTACTTTTTGGTCTAATTGCAATACCAATTTCATATCCATTTCCTTTAACTCCTCCTTGTGTTTCTTGAACAGTGTGGCTTTTATTGAGTTCAATTTGTCATCTACTATTGTTGCTGATAATGCTTCTTGACACTCAATTTTCTGTTGATTCAAAAGCTGGAGTCGCTGTTGGAAGAGATGCTTCTCGGTGACATGCTGTATCTCCATCAAACCTTTCACTATCTCAAAGATGGTATCGTTTAACAGTGAGTTTGCTAAACCAGATAATAATTCGTAGGGCAATCGCATCTGATATTTTGGCGGTAATTCTCCAGCCATATGTTGCAACTGTTCCATCAGAAAGTATAACTTTGCTTGTAGATCTTGAGGAGTAGGATTGGCAATATCCATTTTTTTTCTTTGGAGAAAGAAATATCTATGTGCTTCACGAAATGCGTTAATATTGTATGTAGTCTGTTCTCGATAATTATTTAAAGTATAGGCTTCTCTACAAATCTTAATGAAAATATATTCATTTCACACGTTTTGATTCGAAACTTTATCCCGCGAAACGTCAAAATAATTCAGGTTAGAAAATCTATTATGAAAACACGAAATGCTGTACTATCCTACATACCAGAGAGAAACCTAGCTATTGTTTTATTTTAAAGCGCCTCTACGTCCACAAAATATGGAGAATAAACTACGTAGCCAATGTCCATGATCCGGTCGATAATATCCGTAATTTTTTGGTAGTATTCTTCGCTATATCCACAAATTTTGGTCCGTTAGATAGACAAAGACGAACAATCAATCTGTCGGCGCTTGCAAGACAGCTTACATGTTCTTTTGTCTATTTAACGGATCGAAATTCGTGAACATAGTAAAGAATACAATCAAAAAATCGTGAACATTATCGACCGGATTATGGACATTGGCTACGTAGTTCAATGTCCACAAAATGTGGACATAGAGACGCTTCAAAATGAAGTACAGCTAAATCCCAGGCATGATCGCTCTCGTGCCGATATTCATAATCGATTCTCTTAAGACTTAAACACAATTTTCAATTATCTCCGAGCCGTTGGGGCCCTTTTTATACTGTCGAATTTGCCCAGGGTTGACGGTCTTTAATATCTCGTTGATAGCCGTAGTGAAAATAACTAATATCACTAGGAAACTGGAACAGCCAATCGAATTTGAGTCCAAATTCACTGGACATTCGCGAGAACGTTTCTCCTTGTATTTTTATACCATAGGATTGCGTATCTAATGAATTATATTCCTGGTTACTTTTCAAGGACTATAAAGAGATTAATTTTCACGATTTCGTTTATACGGAAAGTTTACAAAAGAGAATAAAAATGTTCGCGATTAACGGACTGAGAAATACGTCCCGTTTGTCAGGCGTTATTGCCAGGACGTACAGTAATTCAATCGTCAGCACACCACCCCAAGTAAAAGTATCCACTGCTGTGAGTAGAGGTTTTTCTTGTCAAATCTATGTTAAGTTACGTAAGAAACATGCAACGCGTAAATTAATTTTTTTACGCTGCATGATCATCGGCTTTCCGATTTATTTATACCGATGGTTAAAAAAAATCTTTGATAGTATTGTGAAGGATAATTTTTCCATATTTTTCCTACGAGTATTTGATTTTAAAAAGAAGATGGATATTTAATATGACGTTTAATTGATAGAAAATTTAATATTTCTTGTAAAGTAATTTCGAACATAAATATGTAATGTTGCCTTCATACATTAAACTTTCTGTACCAATATTTCAAGAAGCATTTCTATTAAAAATCTGGAAATTTTCCATTCTGCAACTTTTTACTTCAATATGTTTTTATTAGCCTGAGGTGATTTCTAATTTTTTCTATTTATTTTCAAAGATTTTTTTATGTCGATAAGTTAGATAATAATAATTCAGCAGTAAATTTTGACTGCATATGCTCATTCTGTCGTTATATTTATGAATTAAATACGGTTAAATGATTTTTTTATCTAAACATGAAGTTACACAGATTGTGTATGTCATTTAATCATAAATAAGAGCATGTGCAGTCATAAATTTTCATTGAATTATCATTTTTTAACTTACTGACATCAAAAGATTTTGAAATTAAAAAGAAAAAAAGCATAGAGAACTTGAGCGATTTTTCTTCTCAAAATATATTCTATTCATAAAAATATTCAAATTTACAAAATTGTAGGAAAATTAGAAGGAGAGGCATTATGGATATTGTTGCTGAATATTTATCTAATTAATTTTATCTTGTGTTAATGAAAATATTATGTTACAGGAAGATTGCTTTGCATTTTTCTGCATTGCTGCATCATTATTGATCTCACCCATGTACATGGTTCCTAATTTCAAGAACTATCAGAAAGAGAAATGAGGAAGACAAATCAGCAAAAACACCTTGAAAATTAGTTCTAAAATTAAATGTATTAAAGTTATTTATGGTATATATCCAGGCATACATACATCGATAAACTTATAGAAAGTATGTCTGAATTATTAATAAATATTTAAAAAAATAACACTGTATTATTATTCCAAGGTAGATTTCATTATTTGTGTAACTTGTCTAAAATAAAAATTTTTCTATTCAAATATCGATTCAAAAATTTTACAAAAATAAAATTTAAGGCTGAAGCATAGACCTTTGTATAATGCATAAAGAATAAGAAAATCAACTAAGGCCCCTATTCTTGAAAAGAAACATATGAAAAACTAGGGAAATACTGTAATATACATAACGTATTTCTCTAATACATGTTGCTGGAACGCGATTTATTCAATACAATCGCAAAGGAACGTTGCTGGAATGAATAATTTGCATATTCCCTCGTCGTAATGAAAAATAATGAGAATGAAATTGTTCTTATTTTCTCTTTTCTACTTTCTTTTAATTATTCGATCATTAGTCGATTAATAAATTACTCAATGACTCAATCAATCAATTTTATGAATCATTAATTTTAACTTAATTTTAAAAAATTATTAACTTACCTGACTCTTGATTATTTTACACGCATTATTGCTCATCTTTATCTTTATTTAAATTTATAAAACGTAATTCTAAATAATTTTTTATTCTAGACTTTTAATCTTGGTTTTTATTTCATGATATTCTATGGCGAGATCATTTTATTTTATATTAAGCAAATATGGTCATCAGATGATAATTATACGTACAAAAAAATAAGTGAAAAAACAAGTGTAAAAATAAGTTTTAATTTTTTTTTGTTTTCAGTATATATATATATGTATATATATATATTTGCAATAACTATTTTTGTGGTTTTAGTCGTGTAGAAGAATTTTGCAATCCTATAAAGCTAATTCAAAGATATTTTAGAATTACGAAGAGACGGTAATTTGTTTCATTTTAGGATTTTTTAAGAACTGAAGGTTCTAATATATTTATTTTGATTGCGACAAACCTTCGACATGTTACAGACCGTAGTTATGTCAAAGTATACTAAAATAAACCTTTTTACGCTTTTATTGCAAATTTTCGACATAATACATACAGCAATTTAATAGAATTGTATTCAACTACATCAAATGACCAGGAAATAATTACTCTTTTATATTCAGAAAAGCTTTTTCTTTTTTTTTTTATTAAACAATGTTATTTGAGTTATCCACTAGAAATCACGTGGAATATTACTGTATAATTATATCTATTTCTAATCATTCTGTATATAATCGTAATATAATATTATGCAACGTTTTGCTTAATTTTCAATGTAAGTTACTTCTATTTATAGGCAAAGTTTGATTTTTCAAATTATTATTTCAAATTTATCTT